AATAGCATTCAAATAGATCCCAAATACATTTTAAGCTCCATGACTATTTTGGTTTTATTCGTAAAATATAATAAAAATACCCCTAATTCAGGTAAAAGTATTGAAATACACTTTAAAAAAATACATTCAAAATACAGGTGGTTTGGTAAGGGATTTATCGAACTAAACTCTTTTTAAATTCTCCATAATTCCTATTTCATTCATACCACGTTTTGTATCTAAAGAATCGGAAATAATAATTGATCTACAACATAAGTCTGCATTTTCAGTAAAATCCAAGACGACTGCCAAGATATCGGCATTTTTGAATGAAGTCACTGGTTCCCAGCAACGCCATGTTTCATAATACCTTAAATGAACTCAACCCTGAATAATCCAACGTTCTGAACTTTTACAAGGTTTCATACTGGTGTATTTTCAATTTTGTTTTGAACGTTTACTATAAACTGGCAATTCAAAAGGCAAGAAAACCTTTGAAGTTTTTTCTTTTTGTTTTACATTGGAAACTGTTAAATAGGCATTTTTCAAGGCAACACGAAACTACATAGTCAAAGAGTATCTTCCCTGAGTTTCTTAAAAGAGTAAAAATGCCTAAGAATTTGGAGCGTGCCTAGCCCAAAATGAAAGTGTTTGATAGACAGCCATTTTCTTTATTCCGTTTAAGTCCTTGAATGCAGGGCAATCAAATCGTGCCAGTAAGCGGCAATTTTGGTAGGTACTTCATGTATGAGGACATATATTGTACCGCTTTTACTTAATTAACTTATAACTTCACTTGTTGCCTTGAAACTTTGTTGCTCTGTTTCCTTGTTTCCTAGTTACTCTGTTTCCTTGTTTCCTTGTTACCTTGTTACTCTGTTACCTTGTTACTCTGTTACCTTGTTACCTTGTTACTCTGTTACCTTGTTACCTTGTTACTCTGTTACCTTGTTACCTTGTTTCCTTGTCCTCATTTTCCGCTGAACAAGAGTAACGAAGACGCCGAGGACGAGCTCTCCGTAATAGATTGAAAATGAAAAGATTGCCGACTGATGGCCAAACGCTAGCATTTCAAGGAAAGGAAAATCTTCGTTGAAATTAAACAACATAAACAGTTCAGATCGCGACTTTTTCAGGTAAGGTAAGTATAACTCATTATCCCTAAATTTTTTCATAGTACTATCGACAGCAAAAGATAAGGGAGGATAATTGAAAAACAGATAAATATTGAATTATGCCATACATGGAAAAGTTAGACTACTTTACGCTTGGATTTCATTTCTCCTAATTCCACGATAACTGAATGCGTTGTTAGCTGGTTTGGCGAAATATAGCTGGGAAATTTGAACCAAGAAAAACTCGGCGAGCGGTAATGGGTATACACATTTAACAATGATTTCTGCAAGATGGAGCTGCTGGCTCCAAGCGAATACTGGATTATATTCGCTACATGTATATCATGATCATTTTACGTTTGTGTGTTTAAAGCGAACTCAGTAGAGACAACTAAATTAAAAGACACTTGTTATGTTGCCGGTACGTTTGTTACCACCTTTAGCAGGAGACCAAGCTGAACCGATTGTTAGTTAAGGCTACAGTTTTGTTTTCTTTCGTCTGCACTATTGTGTTACTGTCGATCAACATATTTTTGGTTCAGTCTGTTAGGGTATAGTCCCCTTCGATGGAAGAAACAGTTTCGTGCAAAAAGGAATTTACAGATCCAGCTTCATCGTGCCTCTAGCCAGGCTTTATTTTTTTCTGTTATCGAGGCTCTCCAAAAAAAGTTGGAACATACTGAGGCGGATCAAGAAATGCTTGTTACCGTTTATTGTAGTTATAAATTTCGGGAGGAGTGTACTCTGGTATATACAGGTAATTTCCTTCTATTAAAATGTATTAAACAGTTTTGTCTAAGCATATGACTCGCGCGTGATCAAACTAATAGGGCATGAAAGCATTCAGACCAATTAAGTTAACCGAAACAGTTGAATAAAATATATATAGAAAATAATAATAATAATAAAACAACAGGGAAAAGTAACTAAAAGTGGTTAACTCTGATATAGAAAAACATTTTTTCGGGGTAGCTACGTTGAAATGGTGGGGATAATAAATATCCTTTCGGTTTAAGGGTTTATGAAAAAGTAATTTCAACATTCTTTTTAGCTAGACTGGAATAATGACAAAAGAATGATATAATTATTCTCTCTTCTTTTCCCGTACTAAGAACTGTTGATTCTTTCGAAGGGAAACCAAAAGTTTGATTGGTTTTGCTCATTTCTCGACAACATAAAGTTAGAGATGTCCCTTTTTTGAAAGTGCAGCGTAGAAGAAGAGAATTTTAAATAAAACTGAACCAATATTTCAAGGTTTGCTTTGATTCCAATGTGATCTTAAGGTTTAAAGAATTATTTCGAAATTGTTGCATAGTTTCTTTACGTAATGCAGAAGGACTCCGATTTCAAGTCATCGATCGAATTGAAGTTAGACGGTTCTGATTTTTTTCTGAAGTGAGCTTCAAAGAGCCACAGACCCAAAGGAACGATTAATTACAATAAAAGCTTGTTCGCTTAGAAAATCCCTTTCGGTTTCCTACTGAGTAAGGATTATAGAATTTGCAATCTTATACACATCACTTCACTTCCGCCATGTTGATCTCCCAAGACAATAATTAACGGCGGCCAATATCTTGGGAAGGTAGGAAACTTCTAGTATTTATTTGATATAATACTTGAAAAATAACAAAAGCTTTCTTTTTATCTACTCAACTTGCCGTGTAAAGGTCGCTCCTTCATCGCAACGTTAACCTGACCCTTTCGCCATATCGTATCTCGGAAAAGTAAATCATTACAATCTTTCCTTTTTCTGTGAACGACTATATCCCGTCGGTGAAATGAAACATCCCATGAGTTTTGCCACAATCGCAGTTGAAAGTAAGTCTTAAATTAGCAAAATGCCATTACCTTAGAGCTAAAAATCGAACTAATTTTTCATACCTAGTTGTTGAGGTCTTTTGTGGTGCATTTTTAAATGTATAGATTTTGTTTAGATGTACTTTTAAATTAAAGATACCGCAGTGAACTAACGAGTGGCCTTTTAAGTTACTCAGATTCAGATTTCAGATAGTCTATTTTTTGCGCTATTACAAGAGGTCACCCGACATAGATTATAATACATTACAAAAGCAAGAAACGTGTGAAAAAGCGGGGTTTATAGGCTTTTGAGTTTGTCACTGCCACGTGAAATTAAGTAACTCTGGCGTACTGGCATTTACATAAACTAAAAGAAACAACAACAAATTTTATTGTACCCAAAGCAGAATATTATAGTTATTTACAAGTTGATAGAAACATACAAAGGAGAAAAGAAATTAAAAGTGCAAAAAGCTGTACCGTTCGCGGATAGTTGTCTTTTCTTTTCTGTTTCTTTTTCTATTATTTTTATTATTGATTACTATTTGCGTTTTTTGTTGTTGCTAATTATTTCAAGCGTTTGCTACTTAGCTTAACGACACATTGTCGGACATTGGTATCTAGTTTTAAAACTGCCTGAAGGTCTGTTTTTCTTCATACATAACGGCGACGGTTTTTTTTTTTTTTTTTTCAAGCGGTTATTAATAAATGCTATACAGTCAAACTCATGAACCTTTGTGATAACTTATTAAAATCTAAATCCAGTCTCCATGCTTTGATTATTATAATTTATTGTGGTTAAATGAATAAGAGTTTACTGAAATGAGCAGTCCCCCCGACTAGTAGTCTCTTGTGATTTAAACAAAACTCACTGTTTAATCGATTACTAGGTGTTTCCATTACCGCTTTTGTACGCGTAAATCCTGGTTATATAATCGATAATGATCCTAGTACGAAGGCCTGGTCTTGTAGGGAGGACGAATTTCGCAATTTGCACGATCGCTCTGCTAAGAGGAATCGTTCATGTATTGGATGAATTGTGTTTGATTTGTGGACGGTCTATTCAGAACGATATGGTCCAATTAGTGTCGGTCTAAGTCACGTAATAGACTAGTACTGCTTTAACGTCACATGGTCTTGTTAATGAAGAGTTTACTGACTAAACCGTTTATGCTTTTACCGTTTGATTGTTCGTTCAGAAATGATTTGATTAAGTCATCTAATAATACTTGTGATCCCAATATCACACTCTCAGTGTTATATATATATATATATATATATAAATAGACAGCAGAAGCTGCAAATAAAGTACATAGATTACACACCTATTAGCTTGAAAACATTTTTAGCTTACATCAGTCTGTTTTCCGTAAATATAGCGTTTACCAAGGTAGAAGCAGGGTGCCTTTCTTGTCAGACTCAAAGTAACAAAAACAACACACATTTGCGTCCAAGCAAGAAACAACAGCCTTAACATGATATGTACAAGCAATTTGTCGTTACTCTATTGCAGAAACCGTGACTGACAGTTATGAATGGTTCTCGCCAGACTGGGTTCTCGCAGTGTGATTGAGGAGTTTTATATTAGCTAACGTTTTAGTCGGGGGCCGGAGGGAATATCAAGACTCTTAGGCCTTTCTTAATATAAGTGGGTAGGCTGGTAGTCTCTGAACAGTCAGAATTTAGGTCGTTAACTCGTAAAACTTCGGGAAAAAACTCTTAAAACTTAATATTTAATTTAGCTACGATTTGGCATCATAAGTTCGTACATGTTACATTTTTGTGCAAATAGTCTCGTGGTAATGTCAGTTCTTATAAACCTCTTTGTCATCCCAGACTGATGATGCTATTAAGAATTTGACCTCCAAGAAAATATGCTTCGCAACAATGGAGGCCGTGTACAACTTTCACTTTTATGAACTGGAAATTATTTTAAAGATTTCTGTTGACCGAAAGGTAATTACAAATTAATATGTAAAGGCAAGAGAGAATTAAGAGACAGATAAAAATATCATTATACTCTCTTGCTAAAGGTTATAAAAGTGAAAGCCACCATGGTGTAACCAACAAAGATATAGCATTCTTCTTTTTCTTTCTAGGACCGACAAAATGACGGATGTATTCAAGGTTTTCACAGCTCTTACTACCATATTTGGAAGCTGCGGAGCGGTCTTCAACCTTTTAATTTGTATTCTGTATTTAAAAAATCCTCAACTCCTAGATGCACCCAACATCTTCATACTGGTCAGTTCAGCTGGTGACTTTCTTCAGTCGATTATGACAACTCCTCTCCTTGTCCTTTCCAATGCACGTGGTGAATGGCTGTTTGGAGAAGCGGGATGTACTATTTATGCTTTCATCACAGCATTTTTTGGATTAAGTTCCATGATGCATTTTGCTGGTATTGCATATGAACGTTATTCCACATTCTGCAGGTTTCTGGATGGTAATAACGAAACGCAATTCGGTAAAAAGAGAGCCATAGTTCTTTCTATTCTGTTATGGTGCTACTCATTTTTTTGGAGCCTGATGCCGATCATCGGATGGTCAAACTACGCTCTAGAGGGAATCGGAACAAGCTGCGCCATCAACTGGAGGTCACACGAAGCAACGCATGTCTCATTTACCTTCTGCTTAATGCTGGCATGTTATGTACTACCCGTGACTATAATGGTCTCCAGTTACTACAAAACATATAAGATGTACTGTCAATACTCTCTGCAGAATAACTTGAACAACACAAACCTTCATGCCATCCGAGAAGCACTTGAAAAAGAACGTAAAATGACTTGGGTAACCGTTGCTTTAGCATCGGGATTTCTATTGGCCTGGACTCCATACGTAATCAGCACGATTGTGGCAATTTTGAAACCAAATGTTATGACAGAATTAGCGGCCTCAATCCCAGCCTATATTGCCAAGTCCTCTTTCTGCTACAATCCAATAATTTATGCTTCCGTAGACAAGAAAATGCGTAGAAAGCTAGCGGACACATTTTGCTGCAAGTCCAACCAAATAAACCCTCTCCCAATTTCAGGGTCGGCTGGCGTTGTCTGACCTAGCTTAACCCGGCCTATAAAATAGGGGAGGGGGCTAGAGGAGAGACTAAAATTTTTCCCTCCAGCTTTTTATTTGCAGCTAGCACATTTTGGCATTTTGAAGAAATTAAGTGACAGTCGCTGGCTTTGGTTTAAGAATGTGGCAAATTTTTCATGCCCATTAATCGCCATACATTGCCGGATTTGAAAAAATTATTTGTGAAAATCTGGTCAAATATCAAAACAGTTTCCCTACCTTGATTATTATGCTAATTCTCAATTTCACCTTTCTTATCATTACATATGGATATTGTTAAGTGAAAAGAACAATTAAGGCTTTGATTTTCTCGACAAAATGAGGTATGTTTTATGGGTGGTGGAGCTGCTGGCAGCCTGTGACGTCACCAAACTTGTTTGCCGTCTTGGCCGTCATCTTGGATTTCAGTGACCCAGAATAAGAAATCAGGTTAAAATGGAAAGAATTAGTAATTTTTTCTCTTGACATGTAAAATAATTCAAATTAATAAGTACTTTGCTTCATTTTATCTACAAGCTTTAAGTTTATCGTTAAAACAAGTTGAAAAAATGCGAAAATACACAAAAAAAGTTACAATCTTCATTACCCACTGTAGTTAAGTATTAATTAAATATCTTGTAAAATACGCCACTTTCAGCAATAGTTTGCCTTTCATACAGTTGTGTAATGTATGTATTTGTGAGTATCTAATATTTTTCCCTTTTTTGCCTTTTTTATCATAATTGTTGTTTAAAATTTAGTAATTAGTCCTTTGTACTAGTGTAAATTATACTACTACATGAGAAATTTTTGCAATTTGATTGGCTTAGAGCAGTGGTATTTAAGCTTAATTTGAATTACCTACATGTGAAAATTACAATCTTTTACAGGACGCGGGTAGTAGTGTAAACAAATAGTAGCATGATTTATGCGTGATATTTGGCATAAATGCCACTCGTGATATTTCCAAATTGTCTCAAATTTCACTGCCCTGACGGCTCGTGGAATTACGCGACAATTTCAAAATAGCACTCGTGGTATTTATGCGAAATATCACTACAAATCACGCTATTACCTATACTAAATGTCTTGTACAAAAAATGTTGAAAAGCGTGCATTTTCAGACAAAAATAGCTTGAAAATCTCCTACTTCTGACGTCATATCTCGTAACCATTGGAAAATGATCATTACCAAACTTTTCTCAAAATACCATACGTCCCATACACAGAATGCTCCTGCAGAGTTATAAATAAGATACATATCATTCAAATTTTTTCAGGGAGCCCTAACCATAATAATGTTATGGCGATTTTAAAAACGTGAAACAGTTAGTCCAACTTTTTCAAGTTTCAGTCCATGTCCATCCTTCAGTACCATCCGCAGCTAAACACAACAGAAAACCGTTTCAGTGCCCAAATATAGTCTTAACAAAACTGGGCCATTATTTTTGGAATTCTATTGACTCGAGAACACGTTTTAGCTTTTTTAAAAGTTAGCAAATAGCGTGAAATAGCCGCTTTAAATTCACAGCGCGAATCGCCCTTTTTTACTGTAGATCAGACTCGTACCCAATCGCTATTTAAGTGTTTTTTTTGGGGTGAGAGAAGATTGGGGATTAGGTTGAGGCGCGCGCGGGGTCTCATTGGAAGGGAAGAATGAAAAATAGCGACTGGCAGATTTCGTTTCAATATGGCAGCTCGGGAAGAAAGTACTTGCGGCTAAATACAGGAATCGATCCGACTTCTGATTGGTCGAGATGAGACTTGTTATTCTATGTAAACGTCACTAAAGTGTAGCCTAGTAAGCATGTCGCCAAACTCTCTATGCGATCGAATCTCCAGCCCAAGATGTATAGACGTCGAGTGTAATTTGAAATATTAATGCTTCTATTAAGTCATTGTTATTAAACGTTCTTCACGACTTCAAAGGTTAGGTTTGTTTAATATGGCACTTATTCAGCTGGGATTCAGCTGGATCGATCGATTTCTTCAAAAAGAAAGTGTCCCGGGCTAAATACCGGAATCGATCCATCAACAACAACATTAACGATCCGCCGATTTATAGATAGTATCAGAGCAGAAAAGTTTCACAAACTTGCTCTTAGAAAAGATGCAAAAAATGCAAAAACTGAGAAGTCAATCTGGGGCAAAGATGGTAAATGCCACATTTGCCTACATATTTACACCCCGTGTCAATGGAAAAACTCGACCTTTTACAGAGATAATAATTTATAGACTTTTTATAAAGGTGCGGATTTTCTCTCCTAAAGTTGTGTGCAAATGTGGCATTTACTATCTTTGCCCCTGCCAGATTTACTCCGTGTGCAAATTTGTGCAAATCCAGACGAGGTTCAGTACTCCTAGTTAAAAGTGTTTAGTGACAATGACCAAGAGAGGATAAAGAGGACAGAGAAGGCATCCCTCATACACACCCTATTCCATAGGTAATTCGTTTCGAGTTATTTTTAAGACCACAGATACCAAGGGGGATTAGACAACAGCCAATCACATAGCCCGAATGTGTTCCGCGTGGATTACCCACTCTCAGAGCCACGCGTCCTTTACGAATTGACACAGAAAAAAAAGGCGGAAGACGCGGAGAGCGATACTGCCATTCGTTTTGTCGACGAAAACGACTAAAGACAGACTTCTGCTAAAGCAGTGTCAGCGAAACGGAAATTAAAAAAGAATCGCCCTTCCTCTCTTGTATAGAGCTAACAGTACAGCAGGGAAATCCTTAACACACTGAATATTCTCTCAGGATCCTTTATAATTTACAGTTTAAAGAGAGCAATTTCTGGTTTGATATTTAGTCTTTTATTAGTCTGCTATTATTCAACAAAAATAACACTTGGCGTCGTACTTGCTTTATTGTACAAATGACCGGTTTCAATAGACCGGCGAAATTTCTCATTTTATCAAAGCACTAAGGTTACGACAACTTCGAGTTAAATTGATTTCACGGGTTGTCAAAGAGTCGAGCGATTCTCTTTTCCCAGGTGAGCGCCGACTCATTTCGCTTCAATATTCAGAATTACTCTTGATTTCTTTACGCTTTCATTGCCTTTCGCCCGATATGTTTTGCACGGCGTTTAGTCATGCGAAACCTCCGCGAAACATCCACGCAGCGCGCGAGGTACCTTTATCCCGATTCTAAAAATAACTCGAGACGAATTACCTATGGTATAGGGTGTGTATGGGGGATGCCTTCTCTGTCCCCTTTATCCTCTCTTGCAAGCACTGAATCCATTGAGGTATATTTTCCCTCATACCAATGTCAATCTGCCGCAATTTTCACAGCTACACTCTTTTATAGGCGACTTTTTCAAAGGCCCTGCAAAAATCTAAGATTATCATATCATTATATGTTGATCACGCGCAGACGTAGATTGAGCTACCGCTCATCTCAGCTAACCAATGATCATGATTTTTCGTGGAAAGCACTGGTAGCTCAAAATGTTTCACAACCTATGAATTGTCTGAATCGATGACAAAGAATCGGTCAAGGCTAAGCTCATAATGACCATATCAACTCATACTGACCATATTTCTGAAGATGAAAATGTACTTCTGCCTATAACTGTCAATATCAGTCAAGACTAAGTTCAAAGTGACCATACTGTCACGTCGCCTCTTTCGTTCTCGCGTAAATTTGGCGGTGTTTTTCTTATGTTTTAGTATCTGTTTAAAATGTAATTTTAATAGAATATGTTTCAAGTATGGGAAAAACCTTCCAAAATTATATAAGTAGTATTCGAATAGATTCCAAATACATTTTAAAAGTCCATGACCATTTTGGTTTTATTCGTAAAATATAGTAAAAATACCCCTACTTCAGGTAAAAATATTGAAATTCACTTAAAAAAAAAAACAGATTCAAAATACAGGTGGTTTGGTAAGGGATTTGTCGAACTAAACTCTTTTTAAATTCTCCATATTCTTATTTCATTCGTACCACGTTTTGTATCCAAAGAATCGGAAATAATGATTGATCTACAACATAAGTCCGCATTTTCAGTAAAATCCAAGACGACTGCCAAGATATCGGCAATTTTGAATGATGTCACTGGTCCCCAGCAACGCCATGCATATTCCATAATACCTTAAATGAACTCAACACTGAATAATCCAACGTTCTGAACTTTTACAAGGTTTCATACTGGTGTATTTTCAATTTTGTTTTGAACGTTTACTATAATCTGGCAATTCAAAAGGCAAGAAAACCTTTGAAGTTTTTTCTTTTTGTTTTACATTGGAAACTGTTAAATAGGCATTTTCCAAGGCAACACGAAACTATGTAGTCAAAAAGTATCTTCCCTAAGTTTCTTAAAAGAGTAAAAATGCCTAACAATTTGGAACGTGCCTAGCCCAAAATGAAAGTGTTTGATAGACAGCCATTTTCTTTCTTCCGTTTAAGTCCTTGAAAGCAGGGCAATCAAATAGTGTCAGTAAGCGGCAATTTCCTCATTTTCCGCTGGACAAGAGTAACGAAGACTCTGAGGACGAGCTCGCCGTAAGAGATTGAAAATGAAAAGATTACCGACTGATGGCCAAACGCTAGCATTTCAAGGAAAGGAAAATCTTCGTTGAAATTAAACAACATATACAGTTCAGATCGCGAATTTTTCAGAAAAGGTAAGTATAACTTATAATCCCTTAACGTTTCCATAGTACTAAGATCAGCAAACGATAAGGAAGGATAATTGAAAAACAGATAAATATTGAATTATGCCATACATGGAAAAGTTAGACTGCTTTGCGGTTGGATTTCATTTCTCCGAATTCCAAGATAACTGACTGATTTGTTATCTAGTTTGGCGAAATATAGCTGGGAAATTTGAACCAAGAAAAACTCGGCGAGCGGTAATGGGTATACAAATTTAACAATGATTTTTGCAAGATGGAGTTAAAAGAACTGCTGGCTCCATGTCAATGCTGGATTATATTCGCTACATGTATATCATGATCATTCTACGGTTGTGCGTTTAAAGCAAACTCAGTAGAGACAACTAAATTAAAAGACACTTGTTATGTTGCCGGTCCGTTTGTTACCACTTTTAGCAGGAGACCAAGCTGAACCGATTGTTAGTAAAGGCTACAGTTTTGTTTTCTTTCGTATGCGCTGTTGTGCTACTGTCGATCAACATATTTTTGGTTCAGTGTGTTAGGGTATAGTCCCCTTCGATGGAAGAAACAGTTTCGTGCAAAAAGGAATTTACTGATCCAGCTTCATCATGCCTGTACGTAGCCAGGCTTTATTTTTTTCTGTTATCGAGGCTCTCCAAAAAAAGTCGGAACATACTGAGGCGGATCAAGGAATGCTTGTTACCGTTTATGGTAGTTATAAATTTCGGGAGGAGTGTACTCTGGTATATACAGGTAAATTCCTTCTATTAAAATATATTAAACAGTTTTGTCTAAGCATGACTCGCGCGTGATCAAGTTAATGCGGCATGAATGTATTCAGACCAAATTGTCAACCGAAACAGTTGAAAAAATATATATAGAAAGTAATAATAATAATAATAATAAAACAACAGAGAAAAGTAACTAAAAGTGGTTAGCTTTGATATACAAATACATTTTCTCGGGGTAGCTACGTTGAAATGGTCGAGATAATAAACATCCTTTCGGTTTAAGGGTTTATGAAAAAGTAATTTCAACATTCTTTTAGCTGGTTTGGAATAATAACAAAGTGATGTTACAATTATTCTCTCTTCTTTTCCCGTACTCAGAACTGTTGATTCTTTCGAAGGGAAACCAATCGTTTGATTGGTTTTGCTCATTTCTCGACAACATATAGTTAGAGATGTCCCTTTTTTAATGGTGCGGCGTGGAAGAAGAGAATTTTGAATAAAACTGAGCCAATATTTCAAGGTTTGCTTTGATTCCAATGTGATCTTAAGGTTTAAAGAATTATTTCGAAATTGTTGCATAGTTTCGTTAAGTAATGCAGAAAGACTCCTATTTCATCGATCGAATTGAAGTTAGACGGTTCTGAGTTTTTTCTGAAGTGAGCTTCAAAGAGCCACAGACCCACAGCAACGATTAATTACAATAAAAGCTTGTTCGCTTGGAAAATCCCTATCGGTTTCCTACTCAGTAAGGATTATAGAATTTGCAATCTTAAACACATCACTTTACGTCCGCCATGTTGGTCTCCCAAAACAATAATTAACGGCGGCCATGTTGGTTCCCCAAACTGATTCGTTGGGAACTGTTTTATTATGTAATTCAATTTAAGCTGCTGGCCACGTGCGTAAAAGCGTTCTAACAGTTATGCAACGAATTCGAGTTTTGGGCGTTTTCACTCACGTGGCATTCGGCTCCTGACTTAAGAACTAAAGTACATGTACCATAGTTATATAAGAAAAGGGTTCAACCTCCACAAAATTGGTTCAGAAAACCAATTTTCACTTGTTTTTCCCCCTGAGAAACCATGTGACATTGCTTTTATCCCATCAGTCCTTAAGCGCTTGCAAAGATGGCGGGTTTCGACAAAAATGTTTATTGATTCATGAATTGGCTTAAATGAGCCATTTGATTTAACAGGTCAACGAGAAGTTACGTACTATGCCTAGGAAGTGATTGAAATCAGGTAAAATGTTGCGAACGATTGCAAATACTAATCAGAAAAGAAATAGAAGACAAACAGCGGTGATAAACATATTCAACTTACTTATTTTTATAAGCTTGACGTTTTGCACGTGACCCTAGAGTTACCGTTTTCCTTCTTTTCTTCTTTCGCTAAGGTTATGCAGAGCATGGGGTATTCTAAAATTTGACGAAATCTTATTTTGCCGCTCTGAATCTAACATTTGTTAGAGGTCAGAAAGCTTTCCCAGTGTTTCTTGCAGATCGAGTAATTATCAGATTACCTTGCAGTCGAGGTCAACTTTCCAGAATTTGGAAAGTACAATGTGATTGGCTAAGCATGGGAAAGGAATGTTGTCTTCGGTTGAGCAGGCGTTTGTGGGGAGGGATGAAAAACGAGCTTCCCTAAAAACGCCTGCGTGGGAGGCTAGGTGATTTTTAGCGAGGGTCTGAAAGAGGGTCTGAATGGGTTAACCGGCTAGCGACAAACGGCGAAAAATATAACTGACTACTGACAAAACCAGAAAAAAATTACTGACTACCGACAGGGAAAAAATTAACCGACCGCCGAAATGGTCCAACATTGTACGGATTTTTGTCTTCAGAAATAAGTCGTATTTTTTTAATTTGTCTTTTCTTTTCCTTTTTTGGTCAAAAACAGTTTGCTTGATTTGTTTCCAGCACAGGGAGGGTCTTTTAGTTAGCAGCTTTTTCAGACCAGAGATAAATGACTTTAACTTCCAGTTTCGGTACTTATAGAATTTCTTCTCATTATATTACTTGTGTCAAATTGTTATGAAAACCAAGTCGTGTCAGGCTCCTGGTAGTGTAGGTTTGATTTCCGCCTCTTACCCGGCATGTACAAAAGAACGCCTGTTTTGTACCGGCACCTCCTTCAAAGCTCATTTCAGACCCTTCAAATGGTGCGCCTTTCAGTTCTCCTCCTTTTCAGGGGAAATCCAGGAAAGCGCGCACTCCGGCACAACGCGTGGATATCGAGCCTACGAGGCGTACTGCTGCAGTACTTTCACTGCGTGCTGTTTATCCATGCTCGAGTCATGAGCGAAATTTAAGAGTGATTGTACGTTCTAAAAGGTTGTTAAGAGGTCGCAGTCGAGTGCCACAGTAGCTATGTTCTAGTTGACATAGAAAATTATGAAGGATGCTTTAAGATTACTGAAAGGATATATATCTGACGACATTGGGAGGTTCTCTTTGAAACTATTTTGCTTATCTCAGTGGCAAAATGCTCTGCGGGTTAATGCGAGTACCAGCCTATAGCAACAGAAGAATACTGGCAAGTGGAACTTCCAAATTTGACATCGTCCAGATCAGAGGCAGCAGTGAGTTCAAAACATTCCACAGTTACCGTAAATCCTTTATTAAGCCTCCCGGGGAAGGGGGCTTATTTATTTCAAGCCCATTTGAGGGGGGGGGGCTTAATAGAGACGAGGGGCTTATTTGAGAGGGGTATCAGTTCTCCATAAAGAACTAGATTGCAAAGTGGAAAAGCTCAAGTACAAGAAGTTTTAGGTCATGCAGCTAAGGATCAGAATCAAATCCGATCTTCCAGTTGGTTAATAAACCATCCTGGATCAGTCCACACGAAGTTTTACAGTCGTGGTTGACTGATACAGTCTGTCATTTATTAGCGAAGAATAAATAGGGGAGGGAAGGGGGCCTTAATAGAGAGGGGGAGCTTATTGACTTTCTTCCCCTGAAAAGGGGGGCTTATTAGAGGGAGAGGGCTTATTTAAGGGGGGGGGGGCTTAATAGAGGATTTACGGTAAGACACCAGCCATAAATCAGTATTCGTGGACGTTCCGGGAAACAGACTTGACTTCAGTCACTAAAAATAACTTTACTGAAATCCGACCCATATTATTTTCGCTCGACCACTTATTCTCTCATGATTACTTTCGTGCTCGGATTGGTCTACTCAGCCACTTCCGAACTCACAAAACGTACGTAATGGCGTCATGTGAGACGGCGATCATCGGAATGAAAACAAATTCACTTATCGGCCTTTCCAAACAAAGGTGAAATAGACGATCGTGTAGCTTAAACAAGCCAGACTTCACTGAGGTTCCACTGCAATCAAATGATGAATGGACTATGAATGAAGAAGGTTTTTTACTTGAGTAGAGTTTCAACCGTGTGAATTAAATAACGAATATGAATAATTAACTTGTTTTGTAAATCATCACCTAAGATTTACCGAACTAACAAATATCGAAAATTTTAACGGACAAGGTGCATTATGTTCTATGTGTAAGTAGTGAATGGGAATGGCTTAGGACATTATATGAGGTACTTAACATCAAAATTCGCGTTCAGCTTTGTAATTGCCTGCGTGCAGACATCTCCTATTTCCTTTGTTGCACGCGGAAAAGAGACGTCTGCGTAACGGTGTCGCTAATCGTGTTCCAGCGTCCCGCTGGGTTCCGAAGATCTTGGGAACGTGCTGTGATAGGCTGACACACAGTGCGCATTGTTTGACTTAACGCTGATTGGTTTTTATCGAATCTGGTCTGATAATGTATGCGGTGATTTATGTAATCGGGGTTTTCCAGCCAAAACAAATCAAAGCATGTAAACACTTTACAACTGCATCTGAAATCAAATCCTATCAGGAACACCCACAGAAGCATAAACCACACGTTTCGCATTATCACGAGCTTATGATGTTGTGTGTGGCCTGTCAACTCTTAATTCTAACCGGATATTATTCCACAATTTATGCGAAACAGAATACCTTGCCAGCGGGACGCTGGAACACGATTAGCGACGGCGTTAAGCAGACGTCCCTTTTCCTCGTGCAACAAAGGAAATAGGAGACGTCTGCAAGCAGGCAACATTGCAATGACGAAATAATCTCTGACAGTGTCTAATAAAGATGTGCAAAAATGCCCCAGAAACCGTGCTACGAATAAAATCAATTTTTACGAACACATAAGCTAAATTCAAGCCTAAAAACAGAAAAGCTCAAACAATTATTTTCTCCATGGTAACCCGTACGGAAGAGCGTAGATAGCGGGAGATCGGCGACGTATTCGGGATACTCCCGGATAGTCCAGGAGAGTTGGCATCTATGTATACTGTAGAATCAAAATGACGATACGTTATGTGATTGTTCTATACCCAGTGTCAATTGCCTCTTAGAAACCTCTTTTTCTTTTTAGGGACTAGTAAAATGACCCATGCATCGACAATTTTTACTGTTATTTCCGCTGTCATTGGGAGCTGCGGTGTGATCTTCAACCTTTTACTCTGTCTCATGTTCTTCAAGAATCCTCAACTCTTAGATGCACCCAATATCTTTATAATGAACATGTCGCTTGGCGGCTTTATCCAGTCAGTAGTGGCAACTCCACTCCTGGTCCTCTCCAATTCACGTGGTGAATGGCCGTTCGGAGATGCAGCATGTAACGGATATGGTTTTACCGTAACATTCTTTGGATTAAGTTCCATGATGCACCTCACCGCTGTTTCGTATGAGCGGTATACCACGTTCTGCAGGCTTCTCGACGGTAATAACGGAGCCGCGCAATTCAGCAAGAAAAAAGCCACAGTTTTCTCTATTCTACTGTGGTGCTACTCATTTTTCTGGAGCCTCATGCCTATTACTGGATGGTCGAACTACATACCCGAAGGTATCGAAACGTGCTGCGCCATTGACTGGAGGTCGCAGGAACCAACTCACGTTTCATATGATTTCTGCTTGTTATTCATGTGCTATATAATACCTATTGCAATGACGGTCACCTGTTACTACAAATCATATAAGGCATTTTACCAACACGCACAACAGAATAACTGGAACAATAACAACATGCATGATATTCAAGACACACTTGCCAAAGAACGCAAAATGGCAACGGTAACCGTTTCGATGACAACGGGATATCTAGTCGCCTGGACACCGTATCTTATCTACGCGATTTTGGCAAATGCAAAACCAAGTCTGATCACCGGATTGGCTGCCTCAATCCCAGCATACATTGCCAAGTCCTCTTTCTGCTACAATCCCCTGATTTATGCCTTCGTAGACGAGAAAATACGAGAAAAACTAATGGAAACTTTTTTCTGCAAGACCAGCCAAGTAAATCCACACCCGACTCTGGCTTTAGCGGAGGTGGATTGAAACAAAACCAGCCCTCTGTTTTTCTTTTCTTTCTTTTTTTTTTTTTTGTCTTTATATATATATATATTTTTAATACCAATGTCAATTAGATAAAACATACTAGCCTATTTTTTACAGCACCGGAGGATTAAGAGGCATACACCTTATCATTTGGAGACAACATACTAGCCTAGTTTTGATTGCACCAGAGGATTGAGAGGCCTACAACTTAACACCAGAGTTGATTGCATTTCCCTTTCCACGCGCCACATTATTGTCCATTAATAACGGCTATTTATAACGCTGGATTGTGCGTGACCAGTCTCAGCTTGCATCAGCGTTGCAGGCATCAAAAGGTGAGGGGAGCAAGAGAAATAGGTGGTGCCACACAAAATGGGGCCATGCTCTGAAGTATTTATCCAATGGAGACATTGATAACATGTTCAAGAACGTAACATTCACTTAACGCCACACCCCCACCGTGTTTCAAGGGGTGGAGGGGGGGGATGGAACCCGTCCCGCGAGTTTTTGACATGTTGCTGTATTTCGAAAAGATTTTACCAGCAGTGGAAATCTCTGGCGGCCTGTGACGTCACCAAACACGGTCACCATCTTGACTACCAACTTGGCCGCTATCTTGGATTTAACCAAGAATTAGAAATCAGGTAAAAACGGAGAGAATTGGCATTTTTTTTTTGTTCTTGACATGTAACACAACAAAAAAATAAGTAGTTTGCTTTATAATATATCCAAAAACTTTACTTTTAATTTAGAAACAAGGCAAAAAAATGTGCATTTTCACTCAAAAATGGCTTGACCGCTTACTACTTATGACGTCATATCTCGTAACCATAGTAACCGATCATCACTTAACTTTTCATGCACATCATTTTGCTGATATTCTCTTTTTCACTTAAAAAAATTCCACTTAAAAAATATGGAATTTTTCAAAACTGCGTTTGTTATTCTATTTTTAATACCCTAAGATTTCGTTGATAGAGAACATTTTTATGCTATAATGATGAGTGACGGTAAAAACGAAGGTAGTAGAACAGGAAGTGACATGGTGACAATACTCAATATTTTTGTCCTTACGACTAGCTTTAACGTTACAACTATAATGACTAAAAATAATAATGTAAGGGAAATAAAATAAATTGTACAAAAAGGCACTTTATTTGAGTCGGGTCCATGTATTTTTTAATTAGCAAAAGTACTAACTGAGGACACTATTTTTACATCTCCTACTAGAGACAGAACCGACATTTTACGTGGGTGTTCGAGCCACGCGAAGGTCAGGCCGTTTGCAGGGAAAAGGCAGTGCCCATTTTAACACCCTGAGTATCGGTCCGGTTCTAGGAATCGAACCCACCACCTCCCAGTCAAGCGTTCTAGCTAATCGTTGAAAAACTGATATAAACGATGTATACGTTGTACTTAATTTTTTATCTTAGGTAATTTTTCATTTTTCCTTTGTTTCAACTTCATTAGCGTACATTACCATACCCGAAAACAAAAACAAGAAACAAAAATTACCTGGGATAAAAAATAAGCTACAACATATAAATCAAATTGTATTTGAAGCCAAATTGATGGGCATGTATGTAGCCGTATATGGTCTGACATCTCTTCAACTCTGTTTAACACACTTTCAACAAATATTGCTCCAAAAAATAACAAAGCGCTGAAAATTTACTACTTTTGTTAGTTATACACCTGTTACAAACGTCACGAATTTTTCCAATGTTAATTCGGCTACTTTTGAAGCGCTCGTAAAAATGTTCAACTGTTTACCTTTCAGGTGAGCACGCGTTCGTTAAGGCCCATAGTATTATAACCAGTGTTTCGATTTTCTTCTAAAAATTTGGCCGTGGTGGTTTCACCGGAAGAATCATGGCGGGTCAGTGTAAAATTAGACTAACTGTTTTCACCTTGCAAATGAAAACGTGACAACAATAGTCCCATTGGTTTCTAACCCTAAAAACAATAGTCCGCAGTCAGTTCGCAGCGTTCATTTTACACCGCCCCCATGATATGCCAGTACATATCTGATGTTTTGTTACGTTTTATGTTCATTTGTTTGTTTGTTTTTTGCCCAAATTTATCAGTCAGTGATGGCATCAAAGAGGAACGCCTCTATAGAAAAATAATGATGTATTATTCCGTCTATTTAAACAAAAAAGGGGATTAAAAAAGCATCGAAATAGGAATTTGTTCTTCTCGATGTTCAAGGAGGTAAACCTCGGAAATGCAGAGCAAAACAATTCGTACAATCAGGGTCAGAAAATATAAAACATAGATTGATTAAGTATTCTATGTATATATTACGTGCTTTTGTGAGATCAGCAAGTTGATCCATCCGCTCATACTTATTAAAGGCGGAATGGTAATGAATCCGCTAGACTCCTTCGTTACATGTCTTATGTTTTTCGGACCTGACCGTGCACAACGTTTAATGGCATTCCTACCATTTTGAACTTACTGACCAATAGAAACATCGCATTAATTGATTCAGTCACAATTTGTGAACAGAAGACAAACAGGATTGTGCACGGTCAGGGAACTTCCAACATAAACTAAAACACCGTTGTTTTCAACTTTGGAGTTTTCCGGCTTTCATAACCAGTCTCCTCTACTAACTATGATCCGGTCCACCTTGAATCATCACAAACAAAGAAGGGAATTCAACTGAAAATATAATTAGCATCGCATCATTTCACTGATGAGATCCCTTGACAATAGACCAATTCGGCTAACTCAATGTTGTACCCGATTTAAACCCTTTAGGAATAAAATTTTTTGTTTCAGGAATTTCCATATCATTTAAATGTGAATGCCAGCTTATAATGCAAATACAGTGCACAAAGAATCTTAACCCCGAGAGATCTGAATTGGGTACAACATTGCGTTAGCCGAATAGGTCTATGTTCATTAGTATATCTGTTGCAAGGGCCGAAACAATGGTTTTATGCATGATTAATTACGTCAGATGAGCAAATTTCACCTGTCCACCAAGTCTCGTTTGTAAGAAAAATTCTTCGCATTTGTTCTCTTTGTTCGTGGGTATTCTTTTCAATTCTGCTGCCATGGAATTCATTTATGCAAAACTTCGCAACTTTATGATTTCAATTCGAAGCCTGGTGGCAAAATTTGCTCGTCGATCTGATGTAAACATGCATGAGGCCAACGAAATCACCTGTTACTAAAAGGCAAGAGAAAGAAGACCTTTTAGTTTGTACAAAAAAAATTAGGGAGGTTTGAGAATTGACAGAGCGAATAATAACATGTTTAACAAGCTATCTGGCAATACACCAGTTACTGAAGATCAATGAAAAATTCTATATTAGAAGTTCATATTCTTGGGAATTATTTTGTTGACGCCATTTGTTGCCACTTGAAAAGGGTAATTAAAGCTGTAGGTGGATAATGTAAGTCAAACAAAAAAACTCCATTTATGTTCTGACGTACGGTACGAGGCTAAATAATATCTACATTGTAAATCAGTTTTAAAAAAAAAAACAGGAAGTGAATTTTTCTCTGATATGAGAAGACCTTCAGCGCCGAACGTAACTTGATATAGATCTATTCCACACACTGCTAACGGAGATGTCCTCACTGGAATTGCCAAACCGTGGCTTAATCATTGTAATTATCGAAGCAAGTGTCTGTCTTCTTTTGAACATCATAAGTTTCTTGGGAAATGCTCTGGTTTGTTTAGCAGTGTATAAAAATCCAAAACTCAGATCAACCATCAATATGTACATCATCGCTTTAGCAGTCAGTGATCTGTTGTGTGCTACATTGGAAATGCCTTTGGCGTCTGCCGTACTTATTCTGGGGAAATGGGATTTCGGCGTTCCATTATGCGAAATTGAAGGTTTTGTGGATGCGTTCGTTACGTACGTAACACCAGCGACTATGGGCCTGACAGCTTTCAACAGGTACATGCGTGTTGTGAAAAGCAAACAATACAACAAGGTCTTTTCATCGCGGAAAACGAAGATTTGGATTTGTTCCGTGTGGCTCTTTCTCGCCAGTTATCTGTTCGTTGCTCGAGTCACAGGCTGGCTAAAGTTTCAGTTCATTCCTGGGTACGCAGTCTGTAGCGTCGCCTTCACCAAATCAGGCAACAGAAATATTCATTACTGCCTTGTATTCATCTTCTTTTTTGCTCTACCGTTCCTCGCTGGTTGTGTCAGTTATTACAAAGTGTTTGACAAAATTTGTCAACATAAACTGGACGTGGCGCCAACTTTGCAAAACACGAATCAAACAGAGATAGCGAGAATCTCGGTACAAGAAATAAGTATTAGTCGAGTTTTGTTTTAAGCGGCTGGGTTCCTGGTTTGCTGGATACCCATGTGGACATTTATATTTTGGAAGCGATTCTTTCCAGACACAGCTCCCAGACTAATACAGTTACTAGTTATATTTTTCTTATTTCTTAGCAGCACAATAAATCCTTTTATATACGCCACAACAAATCGTGTTTTCAGAGAGGAATTCTACAATTTGATGTGTTGGTGGAGAGTCAGGAAAGTAACACCGAATTCTGTGATAGGCAGTGACAGGAGAGACACTCGAAGAAACGAGTCAAAAGTTTAACATCGTACTCACTCAGAAGACAGTAAAATGCACATAATTTTAAGAAATAATTTAAATCTTTTGTTGATATTTCGCTCATATATTCAATTGCTTCAAGCTTAAGGAATTCAATTAAAGATCGAGAAAAAAAGAACTAGAAATGTTTCTCTAGAATTACCATTAAGAAGCCTTCGTTTTTTTAGTAATTTGATCAAGAAAGTACCGCTAGCTTTTGCAAGAATAATCGTAGAATACCTCGCTGTTAAAACCTTAAATCGATTTTTAAAGAAGCGACCAAATGAGGAAGTTCTGTAATTAAACAAATGTCACATTAAAAATACACTTTCTTGCTGAATTACCCTGTTTCCGATTTGCGTGTGGATATGCTATTAATAGTTGTTGGAACCAAAATTGTTTTGCTTGGGAATATTGTGCGCAGTTTGATCCTTATTTTTATATGCTTGTATCTCTTTTATTATTATTATTACTATTATTATTATTATTATCATTATTAACACAATAATTTAGTCAAAGCGACCTTCCATTTGATTAATGACAAATTCGTTGCATTAATATTAGTTTCTTAAGTTGTTGTTAAAGTTTGCCAGATATATGCAAAAGTTGAGAATTTACATGTCATGAGATTTTTTTAGAACCGATATACATTTTTTTAGTATAGATGACATAGTTTGTTTGCCTTGTATGGGTCTTGTATGTACTAAATTAATACTAAACGAAATATCTTACAGTTTTTCACTCTGAAACTAGTTAAAAGACCTTCGCACTGATTCACCCTTTACTGTACCAAAATAATGTGGACAAAATTTGGTCACTTGAATTTGCTCACCTCAACGATTTTTTTCTTTTTTTGATACATCAATTTGTCAAAAGCTTACTTAAAATCCTCAAATTCTATGAGGCCTTTATTTTAAAATATCAACGCCATTAGGCTTTGTATCATTTCAGAATATGGAAAATAAGTTTCATACATATAAAGAGAAATTTTGCTTTAATAATAACCAGTTTCTTCCTCTACTATATTTCATATTTTTTCAGTCTCCTCTCGAAGTGAGTTCGTACAATTTACGAAATGTTAATTTTTTTGTTATATTAGAACGCGCAATTTAAGAAGCACCCTTATGTAGTTTCATCTAGAGTCATAACTGGCATTCTATACGAGTCAAATAATTATGATTTCTGGTCGGAATGCGGTAGAAGATGAACAAGAAATTTAAACAACAGAAATTAGGGAGGCGTCGGTTAAAGGAATCATGGCACCTTCTAATACCATTTAATAAAAATGGCTTTTCTTGTCCCGATATTTATCCGAGAACATTGCCAATGTCGATATTAAGAACTGTTCATTGCAATAGAATGCCCTTATGGAGACAACTATAATATCTTTTGGCTTACCAGGAAACTATTTCTTTGTTCCTTAATACAATCAATTAGTCTGACAGAAGGACAAAGATTTCTTCTCTGAATTCAAAATAGTGCACTGGTGTAACATCATTCTCCTTGACATAACTCTCTTCAATAGGCCTTTTTTACGAAGACGATATTTGGCAACAACTACCAGAATTCATCTCGTTTTTGCTCTTTTCCTTAAATTTTTTCAATTCTACTGAAGGTTAAAAGACAATAGCAGTAATTTTCACAAGAAAACAACCAACTGAAGGATTCTGATATATATACTAAATGACGTCAATCCGGCCTATTGAAATGATTTACTTTTGCGCAAAAATGGCTTTTGCGCAATAAATACTAGCTGATTTTGGCCTTATTTTGCACTGAGTAATTGTAAGGTCACTAACCAAACCAAAATGGCTGCCATTTAAAATTATAATGAAATTCCCGCGTTGGGAAATGCAACGTCATTTCAGATATCAAGTACACCTGTGATCAACCATACTCAATACAGTGTCAGACGGTTTATGCCCCTTGAAAGTTTCGGATCATTTCCATAGGTTCGTCAGTTCCATTAAACAGTAGTCTTGAATTTACGAGTGGATTGGACTGGAGGAATTCCCTTCGCCCCATGTAAGAAATACGAATTCCGGAATCCGGGAAGTTTTGCTTGGGAAATTCGGAATCCGGGATATTTTTGTACTTGTGTCATCCGGAATATTGGGCTTTTGATTCCGGAATACACCAAAAGGAATCCCGAATCCCACTAACGATTGGAATCCAGAATCCACTGGCAAAGTACCTGGAATCTGATTTAAACATGCATGAGGGCCAATGAAATCACCTGTTACTAAAAGGCAAGAGAAAGAAGACCTTTTAGTTTGTACAAAAAAAATTAGGGAGGTTTGAGAATTGAGAGAGCGAATAATAACATGTTTAATAACAAGCTATCTGGCAATACACCAGTTACTGAAGATCAATGAAAAATTCTATATTAGAAGTTCATATTCTTGGGAATTATTTTGTTGATGCCATTTGTTGCCACTTGAAAAGGGTAAATAAAGCTGTAGGTGGATAATGTAAGTCAAACAAAAAAACTCCATTCATGTTCTGACGTACGGTACGAGGCTAAATAATATCTACATTGTAAATCAGTTTAAAAAAAAAACAGGAAGTGAATTTTTCTCTGATATGAGAAGACCTTCAGCGCCGAACGTAACTTGATATAGATCTATTCCACACACTGCTAACGGAGATGTCCTCGCTGGAATTGCCAAACCGTGGCTTAATCATTGTAATTATCGAAGCAAGTGTCTGTCTTCTTTTGAACATCATAAGTTTCTTGGGAAATGCTCTGGTTTGTTTAGCAGTGTATAAAAATCCAAAACTCAGATCAACCATCAATATGTACATCATCGCTTTAGCAGTCAGTGATCTGTTGTGTGCTACATTGGAAATGCCTTTGGCGTCAGCCGTGCTTATACTGGGGAAATGGGATTTCGGAGTTCCATTATGCGAAATTGAAGGTTTTGTGGATGCGTTCGTTACGTACGTAACACCAGCGACTATGGGCCTGACAGCTTTCAACAGGTACATGCGTGTTGTGAAAAGCAAACAATACAACAAGGTCTTTTCATCGCGGAAAACGAAGATTTGGATTTGTTCCGTGTGGCTCTTTCTCGCCAGTTATCTGTTCGTTGCTCGAGTCACAGGCTGGCTAAAATTTCAGTTCATTCCTGGGTACGCAGTCTGTAGCGTCGCCTTCACCAAATCAGGCAACAGAAATATTCATTACTGCCTTGTATTCATCTTCTTTTTTGTTCTACCGTTCCTCGCTGGTTGTGTCAGTTATTACAAAGTGTCTGACAAAATTCGTCAACATAAACTGGACGTGGCGCAAACTTTGCAAAACACGAATCAAACAGAGATAGCGAGAATCTCGGTACAAGAAATAAGTATTAGTCGAGTTTTGTTTTATGTAGCGGCTGGGTTTCTGGTTTGCTGGATACCCATGTGGACATTTATATTTTGGAAGCGATTCTTTCCAGACACAGCTCCCAGACTAATACAGTTACTAGTTATATTTTTCTTATTTCTTAGCAGCACAATAAACCCTTTTATATACGCCTCAACAAATCGCGTTTTCAGAGAGGAATTCTACAATTTGATGTGTTGGTGGAGAGTCAGGAAAGTAACACCGGATTCTGTGATAGGCAGTGACAGGAGAGACACTCGAAGAAACAAGTCACAAGTTTAACACTGTAGTCACTCAAAAGACAGTAAAATGCACATAGTTTTAAGAAATAATTTAAATCTTCTGTTGATATTTCGCTCATATATTCAATTGCTTCAAGTTTAAGGAATTCAATTAAAGATCGAGAAAAAAGAACTAGAAATGTTTCTCTAGAATTACCATTAAGAAGCCTTCGTTTTTTTAGTAATTTGATCAAGGAAGTACCGCTAGCTTTTGCAAGAATAACCTTAGAATACCTCGCTGTTAAAACTTTAAATAGATTTTTAAAGAAGCGACCAAATGAGGAAGTTCTGTAATTAAACAAATGTCTCATTAAAAATACACTTTCTTGCTGAATTACCCTGTTTCCGATTTGCGTATGGATATGCTATTAATAGTTGTTGGAACCAAAATTGTTTTGCTTGGGAATATTGTGCGCAGTTTGATCCTTATTTTTATATGCTTGTATCTCTATTATTATTATTACTATTATTATTATTATTATCATTATTAACACAATAATTTAGTCAAAGCAACCTTCCATTTGATTAATGACAAATTCGTTGCATTAATATTAGTTTCTTAAGTTGTCGTTAAAGTTTGCCAGATACATGCAAAAGTTGAGAATTTACATGTCATGAGATTTTTATAGAACCGATATACATTTTTTTAGTATAGATGATATAGTTTGTTTGCCTTGTATGGGTCCTGGTATGTACTAAATTAATACTAAACGAAATATCTTACAGTTTTTCACTCTGAAACTAGTTAAAAGACCTTCGCACTGATTCACCCTTTACTGTACCAAAATAATGTGGACAAAATTTGGTCACTTGAATTTGCTCGCCTAAACGATTTTTTCGTTTTTTGATACATCAATTTGTCAAAAGCTTACGATTCTAAAATCTTCGAATTCTATGAGGCCTTTGTTTTAAAATATCAACTCCATTAGGCTTTGTATCATTTCAGAATATGGAAAATAAGTTTCATACATATAAAGAGAAGTTTTACTTTAATGATAACCAGTTTCTTCCTCTACTATATTTTATATTTTTTCAGTCTCCTCTCGAAGTGAGTTCGTACAATTTATGAAATGTTAATTTTTTTTGTTATCTTAGAACGCGCTTATGTAGTTTCATCTAGAGTCATAACTGGTATTCTATACGAGTCAAATAATTATGATTTCTGGTCGGAATGCGGTAGAAGATGAACAAGAAATTTAAACTACTGAAATTAGGGAGGCGTCGGTTAAAAGAATCATGGCACCTTCTAATACCATTTAATAAAAATGGCTTTTCTTGTCCCGATATTTATCCGAGAACATTTCCAATGTCGATATTAAGAACTGTTCATAGCAATAGAATGCCCTTATGGAGACAACTATATTCTCTTTTGGCTTACCAGGAAACTATTTCTTTGTTCCTTCATACAATCAATTAGTCTGACAGAAGGACAAAGATTTCTTCTCTGAATTCAAAATGGTGCACTGGTGTGACATCATTCTCCTTGACATAACTCTCTTCAATGGGCCTTTTTTACGAAGACGATATTTGGCAACAACTACCAGAATTCATCTCGTTTTTACTTTTTTCCTTAAATTTGTCAATTCTACTGAAGGTTAAAAGACAATAGCACTAATTTTCACAAGAAAACAACCAACTGAAGGATTCTGATATATATACTGAATGACGTCAAACGTCCTAGTCAAATGATTTACTTTTGCGCAAAAATGGCTTTTGCGCAATAAATACTAGCTGATTTTGGCCTTATTTTGCACTGAGTAATTGTAAGGCCACTAAACAAACCAAAATGGCTGCCATTTAAAATTATAATGAAATTCCCGCGTTGGGAAATGCAACGTCATTTCAGATATCAAGTACACCTGTGATCAACCATACTCAATACAGTGTCAGACGGTTTATGCCCCTTGAAAGTTTCGGATCATTTCCATAGGTTCGTCAGTTCGATTAAACAGTAGTCTTGAATTTACGAGTGGATTGGGCAGGAGGAATTCCCTTCGCCCCATGTAAGGGAATACGTATTCCGGAATCCGGGAAGTTTTGCTTGGGAAATTCGGAATCCGGGATATTTGTACTTGTGTTATCCGGAATATTGGGCTTTTGATTCCGGAATACACCGAAAGGAATCCCGAATCCCACTAACTATTGGAATCCAGAATCCACTGACAACGTACCTGGAATCCGGAATCCACCGCGCGCAATCCAGAATCCAAGACTGTCTTGGATTCCTTTCTAACCAGTGGATTTTCCCAGGAGCCCAAAAGACCACAGGGAAGCCGAAGGTTGTATTTGCGTCATCATGATCAGTTGCTATATACCTGGTTTCCTGAGACCTGAGTCTGGAAGGGATTTGAATCAGATCCCAGACGGCGTTAAAAACCTTATCTGGTGCGTCGCACAGGGTGTCCCAAAAATTCGTTCCTATCTAATTTCATAAGCTGAAACTTTTGATCAAAACTTTATTTTTAAACGAAAATTTTAAAACATGTTTATTGCTTTTTCGGGTACATGTATTTAGGACTTCAGTAACCGGCATGCCCCATTTGTTTTTTATCACATTCTGTAGCCGTTGTGGCATTGAGTGCGATATGTCATGTAGCGTGTAGAGCCACAGATGATTCATTTTAAGCTTTATTACCACCTCATGGTATGCAAGAGCTACTTCGACCCCCCCAAAACAATATAATAATAATAAATACAAAAACAATATAAATTAATATAAATATTTTGGGCATTGATCCAAAAAAAGATAATCATCCCGGCCCCTTTCCGCCGTAAGGCTTTTGTACTTCTTTACAAATTTGATGTGAGCTGAACGTTGCTTGGCAGACTGAGTAAAGGTTTTTTTTTTTCGGCCATCCTCAGGGCAGCGCCGTAGCTACAGTATGAGGCCAACCGAGGCACTCGCCTCGGTAAAATTTTGACGAATTTCGCCGATCATTTTTATATTACATAAGCGATTATCGGATATTTTTAACGCATCATGATATTACAAAGAATTCAGCAATTCAGTCAATATACTATGAAAAAATTACCATATCATCGATCTCAAGGGGCTACGTACGTTAACTCAAATTTTTTTTGAACAAATACTGATCAAAACCATTGGCGAGGTTAACGGTCACCCAGATTATGTAGCTTGTTTCTGATTATTGCTTTTTAAATTCCACTTAAATTAACTCGAAAAAAAGTTACCGAAAGGCCCAGAAAACGCTGCAAATCGCATTTCCGAGAGACTAAAGTTCAAAATTTCTCGGGGGGCATGCCCCCGAACCCCCCTAGCAACTCCCGCCTGCCTCGGTTGGCCGTTTGGTCTGGCTACGGCACTGCAGGGGCCTCCAAACTTTGCTTCTCATGGACCTGCTCCAGACATACCTTGCTCTCTGTTGTAAGATCGACCTCGCCGGGTTTCCTCTTTTACACCTAGCCTTCTTTAATGAGCAGTTTTATTCAGGACTTTCGGTCTTCCCCCTCATTTCTTGTCTATAAAACCTTCATTTCTCGATGACCATCTTACCACCCAACATTCAGATTTTTCCATGTTTTTAGTAATTTCTTTAACTGATAAGCCGGTAGATCGAATTATACATGCTTATGTTCTCACGTAGCTGAGTGTATTTTCGTTGTAAGGGTTTATCTTTCAGGATATTAACAAAAACACAAAAAAAGGAGTTCGAGCAATTCGAAATATACAAAATATATGGCGGGAAAATTTACTCGCGCACGCGCACCTTTGGCGCGAAAGTAAACAAATCGAGTATTCGAGTCAAAAGATGGCACAACAAGTATGAAATATTATTAAATTAGATTGAAAGACAAAACTTAACTTTTTGTTTAAACTACTTGCTTATAAAGTCCAATCGTACTGCACTACAGACTTGTAAAGTAGAGGAACGAACTAATAGGACACCCTATAATATAGGAGGCAACAGAAGAGTTGATAATTTTAAATAATAATTTGAAATTTGAGGCTTAACTATCGCATCCTATTTACGTCTTCCATCAGATTAATTAAATCTCTTAAAAATGACTCATAAAGATTCAGAAAATCAGATAAATAACATGGGCGGATTTAGGATTTAGAATTTCACCACCAACGCATCACCATAGAGTACAAACGCAATTAAGCATTTTATTTAATGCAAGCTGCTTGATCTACTTTTTCTATTCCCTTTCTTGCTCTCCACAAAACAGTTTTTATTGTATGTGACTGAACGGCTGGTAATCTAAACGGTGGGCTCTTAGGTGTCCAAAATAACCTGGCAACACTAGCCAACACTGCCCACTTAGTTTTGAATTTTTCCGTAGGGTAAAATAAGGTCATTGAGTGAGCACTTCAACTTAAAAATGGCTTCGTCAATATCCTTGGTCAGGAGGACATCTTGAGGTGCTTGCATAATTTTTAACATCATGCGGTTTGGTTTTTTCCAATTTTGACCTTTGTCGAGGCTTGAAAAAAAAGACTGATTCGTTTTCCGGCTTTTAATGTTTTTTGTTTTTTTGGGGGGGGGGGGGGGGGGGTTGAGATGGTTGAGATGATTTATCTGCTATGTGGGCGGTCATGTTGACCGGCTACCATGTTGTATATTTTAGGAAAACGCATTACCTGACGAGGGAATTCCGCGTTAAAGTTCAATTGATCAATCGCATGAGGTTATTTCGCGAAAAAGTGTAGAAAAATCACCTAATCTGCAAAATTAAACTCCAGCAAAAAATTCACGAGTCATTTGTTTTTGTTTCTTATTTTTGTACTAGCAAAAGGTAATGGATTTTAGAACGTCTCGTTTTTGAATCGAATCATAATTGAATGCGAAGCAGCAACCAAACATACTTTTCTACTGAGAAAGATGTTTAAAAAATCAGAAAAAAAAAAGAAAAGAAAACAGCAATAATATTGTTTGTTTTTATCCTGAGCGCGCGCTCCAGAAAGCCATTTCAAAGGCAACTGTCAGAACTGTCATTGCGTTAGCAGTAGGAAGTAGTTCACCCTATTTTTGGTTTAGTTTGTTTTTCTAAAGGTCCGGGTCAGTCGTCCACGTTTGAACCTTCGACAGACATCACCTACTTTGCTAGCCGATTTTTTTTTTTGTTTACCTTGTGCCTTGTTTTTACATTGACATGAATTAAAGGAATTACAGGGTACAAAATTTGTTTTCAAAAATTTTTTTATTGGCTAGCCTTATATTTGGAAGTAAATTTATCGTTTTTGCTTTGTTTTGCTTTGTATTTACATGTAAACAAGCTTCACACTAATCGTAAGGATGAATAGAGGTATTTCACTGAATTTACAAGCCGCTTATCTATAACATCTTTTTTCAAATTGGTCATTTGCTGGAGAAGAAAAATAATTTACACCTTTTACTTCTTCGGCAGCAAAACTGAAAGAAATGAAGTGTCCAAGCGAAAGCACTGAAAGTTTAACGTCGCGATTGATATAAGGTAGTTACCTTGAAATTTTTTAGAAATGCTATTCAAGTTCAGCTCTGTTTTGTACTTTTCTAAGTACCACGATTCAGGACGATTGCAAGCGGAGTACTCTTTTTCGTGTTTTCAGGGGCCATGTCGTCTTTGAAGGTGTTTATTTCTTCTCCTGTATACGTGACAATCGACTCCGGCACTTCCTCCGTTGTCGCCTCTCCGTTTTGTTTGGTTCAACTTTGGCTTGCCATTTTCTGGGGCGTGTTCACAGGATTTTCTTGTTTTCTCTTTGTCGCGAGCGAAACAGGGTTTTTATGTCTCTCCGAGAATCTGTAGTTCAGTTCAAAACAATGAAGAACCTCCGGTTCACTTTAAAAACGCTTTTTTTTGTTTTTAACTCTTCAAAAGGTGACAATGGTTTTGAAAACATTTTAAAATGACATTGTAGACAACCTTTTTTGCAGTTGCTGTGTTAGAATTTGACGATAGTTGTTACGTAGATGCGAAACAATATCGCTTAGCCTCTTTTTCAACTCACAATTCCACACTAAATACCTCGCTTCGTTAACCAATCAGAATGCGAGATTTTACTCAATTATGCGATTCTACATGAAAATTGATACATTTAACGGATATAGAGGTCTAAAAGGCGAAAACGAGAGATAGAACAAGGCCAGCCAACTTACAGACAGTGTTTTTGGCATAGTATAAGACGCCGCAATACTGTTAACACAGAATAATTGGCTGCTTTTGCTCTCCGGGTGAGATCAGTCGCTGGTGATTTTACTGCGCTTTTCACAAACATGCGTACTCTAAAGTTCAAAGCCGCCTTCACAACTGCGTTTTTCGCTGCCGTCAATCATAATTACAATCACAAACAACGAACCTTGAAACATAGAAACACAAAACGCATCGAAATCCACCAATCACAAATCACAAACCTTGACCTTTTGAACCCGTTAAAGTAAAGTTTTGTTTCCTAAGAGGTCCGTTAAGATGATTGACGGCAGCGAAAAACGCAAACGTCAGTTGGCTTTTGAACTTCAGAATTCGCATGTTTGTGAAAAGCGCAGTAAAGACTGTCATGCTTATGCCACCTTGGCAAGATTCTTCCCGCCAAACAAAACAAAAGCCAAAAAACCGCTGGCGTTGAAACAAAAAAGAGGCGACCCAATGGACATCCAGTTTTTCTTTCATTTCAGCGATATGGATCTCTGGAGACTGCTGTAGTTTCAGAATACTTCTTAAAATTCATGCTTCCGTTGGTAAATCGATTGATTTGATGATGACAGCCATTGTAATAAGGCAAGCTAAAACAAAGCAAATACCAATGTCGACTTTTGCTTGCTGTTTGTTTTGCACTAGACCAATAAATACAGGACAGGACAGCCCTAGCCCCTGAGAACATCCAGGTGGAAGGCTAAAGCCTAGCCCTCGTTTTATCAAAAAATTCATTTACGTTCAACACAAAATTGGTCAGGGCCAAGATTTAGTCTCACGGACTTCGTGAAAACGAAACCATTGGGACGTAAACGCTTCAATACGAGTTAATATATTTACCGGCATATATTTACGGAAACGACTGTCACCTGCCATCTGTCTGATGGCAACGTTTTGCTTAATACCAGACCAGTATGGGAGAGAGACACTTTTTTTCTAAGCCTGTGTTTGTATTCAATATTCACTGATTGGATTTATAATGTACAGTTGTACTAGTGAACTTAGCTCGATTTTCTGTCTTTAGGTAATTATTCAGTTATCACCCACAATCACGATTCTACCGTATCGAACGAGACTGTTGATTTAACAGATCGTGTGATACATATATATAATAATTTTTTTCATTTCAGCTTATTTTGAACCTGCCCAAAAATAAAAAAAAAACAACAACACTATCATTCAATTGCAGCATAGTCTGATTACTCACATACAAACTCATTTCTCAATGAAATTTTGCGCAAAAGTTTCTTCAGAGCGCAGCGCACTGATGCAAAATGACTTATGAGCTTCCTACCAGAAGCTTAACCCTCGTCGTTCTAGAATCCACGATTTGCCACGCACTTAACATTGGCAGTCTTGTAGGCAATGCCATGCTCTGTTTGGCCGTCTATCGCAATCCAAGGCTGAGATCAACAACAAATCTCTACATCATTGCGTTGTCTGTGGGCGATCTGATGTGTGCAGTTCTGGAAATGCCACTAACGTTTTGGACTTTGGCTGTAGGAAAATGGGTGTTCGGCAACGGTGCGTGCCAACTTCACGGCGTTGTGGACGTGTTCTCAACGTACAGTCCACCAGCTACCATGGCTCTCACGGCGTTTAACAGACACATACGCATCGTGAGGGCTGACCATTATCGAAAAATATTTTCTCGTTGGCGTTCTAAAGTCTGGCTGTTTTGTGTGTGGTTCAGCCTCGCTGGATACCTTCTTATTGCGCGCATAACAAATTGGCAAAGATACGACTTTGTTGTCGGTTTTGCTGCGTGCAGTGTGGAACATTACACAGAAAACAGGAAACTTATTCATTATTGCTTTGTGGTGTCGTTATACTTTGGCGTTTCATTTTTAGTTGCAATATTCTCTTACTACAATGTGTTTCAGGCAATTAGGAATCACCATTTACAAGTAGCAGCCAGACTGTACAGCGAGTCAACGACTTCCTCACCGCAAACGCTTAGAGTTTCAGTACAAGAAATTAAAGCCACTAAAACGATCGCTTTTGTGACGTTAGGTTTTACCCTTTGTTGGATATCGATGTGGGGACTTTCTCTGACCAACAGATTCTCCTCGAGCCCTGTACCAAGAATAATCCCATTACTCGCAATCTTTTTCGTCTTCTTAAGCACCTCCATCAATCCCATTGTCTATGCTGCCACTAACACTGGATTTCGACAAGAATTCCGCAAAATGGTACTCTGTTTCAAGCCGAAAGCAAAAGTTTCCTCCCGCGTATAGGAGCTGTATGATTGAAGAGAGAATTAATTTAAACCATGAAAAAGCCGAGAATCTTGAAGATGTAAAAAGAAACGTCAACGTTACCTAATTATCTCGCTTTTGTGACCGCTTTAAAAGCAGGGATGCCAAGCAACTATTCAGCGCAACAACAAAAAAATGCTGATCATGAAGGACAGCTCGAACCAAGTCAGTTAAATGATTCGGCCACAAGTTATGTCACACTGATACTGCTGTTGTTACTATTCTCATGGGTTTGAGCAACTCTATCAATCTCATTAACTTCACTGCCAGCACATGTTACCGAAATATATCAATTTCTACAGGACTTACGCGAAACTGTTTTTTGTTTAGTTTAGTTTAGTTTTTGTTAATTTGTTGATTTTATCTTACTTTCAGCAAAAATCTATTTCGGCTATGTACAGAGGGGAATATAAGCAAACGTAAGCAATTCAAAGAGATTAATTTTGTTATGGATAATATTTCCTTACTGACAACTCTCAAATAACGGTGGAGATTTGAAGTGTTCTGTCACGACATAAGTGGACAGCTCCCACAGCTGTTTGTGATAAAAGAAGTTATAGGGGCTAAAAAAGGCCAAGGATAATGAGAGCTCTGGACTTAAAAATCATAAGTCAGCGGATGGTGGAGAAGAAATGGCAGCCATTTGCAGCACCTGCTCCAGGTTGGTTAGTCAACAAAGCTTTATGGGGAGGCTCCGTCCCGAGGTCCAACCCGTTACACTTTTACATACCATTAATTTTGACAGAAAGGGTACCCTTTTCGTATACCTACCATGGAAAATATCCCTTGGCTAGTACAGGAGGTTTTTTCATGTAATGTTTAATAGCCGAGATTAGAATGATAAATCCATGAGGCGCTTCGAAACATGTTAGTGAACCAAAGGCAATTTGAATACTCGAACAAAGATAGATTTTGATTCCCTTTTATATATTACCACATGTGAATTTCCTCTTTGATATAGCTGAAACCCGAGAAGGGTTATCCTTTTTAGTCTGCCCGTGTGGGCCATTTTAGGGAGTACCCCTAACCCAAGGTCTTGTCGGGCACACTGGGTGAGCGCTGGTACAGACTTACTTTTCCTATGGACAGTCTTTAATTCGCCTTTTTTGATCAGTGATAAACTTTCGCTGTACCTTATTACAGAAAATTAACGCCTTATGAATTAAGGTATTGGAAATTAGCGCCGCGACTTAAATTACCGTAAACTTAGTACAAAACGACTTTTTAGTAAACGCAATTAATGCGAAAGGGAGGGTAACATTTCAAAATGAAGGAAATTAACGCGACATTCAGTTCACAAAGAAACAAAACTTGTCGAGACAACACTACCCTGCGGCAGAGGCCCTTCGATCTTCCTAGATAAGTCCCTTCCTCTTCCCGACTTATCTAGGAAGATCGAAGGGCCTCTCCTCGCAGGGTAAGATAACACGGGAACAGCGTTAAAGGTGTGATTTGAAAAGGAAAATTTGTTATTGGTACTTTCCTTAAACGTACGAATGGTTTCAAGAGAAGAAATATGGCCACTTCGAGGGTGCTTCACAGTTTCATTGTTACTGGCGGTTTTCCACACCAATAATTATAACATCGAGATTCTCCTCTTTCTTCCACCCGGCCCATGACAGGTAAACAGAGCTTCAATTAACTCAATAATGAGTCAAAGTGTGAATTATAAGAAAAGTGAAATTTAATTTTCCTAAAATGTCTTATGGCCGGTTTACATTTCTTATAGCCTGAGAACTGCAGCTGGTACGAGGTCTGGAACAGGTAAATCTTGTGGGGTCTAAGACGGTTGAATATTGAGAAAATTTTCGGAAGATCCGATCGCTTACCGAGTGCATTTCTCGGTTAAAGAATTGCAACCGTTAAACCCTAAAGCGCCAAAAGAAAACAAGCCCAAGCATCGATGATATTTCATGTTCGTAATATTTATTCACTTGTTATATTCGAAAAGGTTGTAACAGTCCTCTGTCACTATTAAATTTATGATCTAAAACTGTGATAAAATATAGAGGTGGTCGGTGGCATCATCAGTGGCCGTCGACTTTTAATACCTGTACTTTTTATTTGTCAAAAATTATTACTACGATATAACAAAAATCCTAAGGTCACGTAACAGCGCACTTTGTAATAAAAAAAAAGGTCTTGTCGCACTTTGATTAGAAATAGTTTGTAAACCAAGTAATATGTGTTCCTGGGTTCCAGGCGAAAGTCGCCGCGTGAAAATCACAAACTCAGAGCACAACCCGGTGCCACAATCATTGTCATCATCATCATTATTGTCACTATTATTTCGAATGGAATACACAAAACCAGGATTCTGTGTACAGCTGAAATTGTTCTCTGAGATCGCGTAAACCTAAACTTTACGGAGGATATTTTTATTTGAGTAGGATAAAATTCCAGAATCCTGAACTGAACAAATTTGTTGAGGGAATATCTTGGAATACTATATCATGGTTCAAATATTAAACTGGCTCTGAACTGGGTTTGCTTGGAATGCGACAGCTTTTTTATTACAAAGTGCGACAAGTGTTATTACAAAGTGCGACAGGTATTACAAAGTGTGACAATTTTATTACAAAGTGCGACAGGTATTACAAAGTGCGACGATTATTACAAAGTGCGACAGTACATGGCATCATCAGTGGCCTGAGTTAATAAGCTACTTTTTTATTTCCAAAAATTATTACTACGACATAGCAAAAATCCTAGGTCACGTGCGAAGGTCTCGCGATTAGCCAGTTTGCGTTCCTGGGTTGCAGTCGCCGCCTGTCGAATGGAATTCGGATTCCGAAATCTGGGAAATTTTTGCTTGTGGAAATCCAGAATCCTGGGCTTTGGAATCCGGAATACGGCTCAAGGAATCCGGAATACCAGTAACAGAATCCGGAATCCAAGTTCCACTGACAAAGATCGGAATACGGTATCAGGAACCCGCAATACAGTCAGCGTGAAACCCAGAATCCAAGACTGTCTTGAATTTCCTAACATGGTGCGACTGCACAGACTTAACAATCTAATTTCACAGAAAATGGTGTGGCATATACAAGGTTATTAGTGAATGTCAAGGTATTTTCAAGACCTAAGAAAGAAATCATGTACTTTTCGAGGACCTCTACCGAATTCAAGGACTTTTCAAGACGATTATTAGAAATCAAGACCTCTTCAAGATTGTGCGAAACCGTGGTAACTCATCAATACAGTTGAACCCCTCCACAAACGACACCTTGGGGACAGAGGGAAGTGGCCGTTGTAGAGAGGTTCAAAGAGGAGCCAATGTATGGACTGTCCGCCAAAAACAGTGGCCGCAAGAAAAAAGTGGCCGTTGTAGAGAGGTGGCCGTAAGTAGAGGTTCCACTGTACTTGCAACTGGGGCACCCGTTTCAATCAGAAATCCTTGCAGTAGTACGTATTACTCTCATCACGAATTAAAGCAATTAACATTTTGGGCCTTAAACTTAACAGTAAACACATGATATGACTCGTAACACTTAATTAAAACAGTAAACCGATCTAGATGAGCTACACAGACGCGACAGCAATATTGCGCTGAATTCCGTTATTGAAATAGATATAACATTGAAGATAAGTAGCGTAAAAAAAGGTTGAAAATAAAAGACTGGACAACTAAACGATAACAAAAACAACGATTGGGGAATATGATATACTGCAACAGCTTTCCGGCCACGATGACCAACAAAATGTTCTCTAAAGAAAGATCCGTGGCGAATTAACGCTTTTTTCGGTGCTGTCTCAGTTAACGCAGGTGTATCTGACTATTTGGTAACGTTGCACGACACTTTTTGATGATATATATATCTTCGAGTGGTAAAGAAAACAACGATAATTTGCAGAAATTAATGACTTGACGGAAAAATGTCAGTTAACTGTTTAATTTAATCAGTGCAGTACTGGCTAAAGACCAGAATGATCACTTTTGTCTTTTATCTCTGTTCACAAAGAGACAGAACTTTTTTCTGTCTTTATTTAATCAACGTTGCCATGACAGTTGAGCGGCGCAGGTAGCCTTTGGAACTCTGCCATTGCATTGCCTTTCACCTCAGTTCTTTTTGTAGCGTTTGTAACCTAAAAGATTAAAGTTTCCGAGCAACAAGCTATCTTGCGTGATCAGCATTCTCATAAAGTGGTTTTTGCCCGTATTTCGCAGAGCTTCTAACAGTTGCGCTGGCAGATGCGCTGGCTCTCACGATAGCTAAGTAAGTAACGTTGACGTTTTTTTCATCTTCGGGATTCTCCGCTTCATGGTTCACATTGATATTCTCCACAATCGTACCTGCACGCATACGCGCAGTGGCAACTCTAGCTTTTCGCTTGAAACAGAATACCATTCTGCGAAATTCTTGTCGAAATCCATTGTTAGTGGCAGCGTAGATAAAGGGATTGATTGAGCTGCTAAAGAAGATGAAAAATGTTACGAGTAATGGGATTATTCTTGGCACAGGGCTCGAGGAGAATCTGTTGGTCAGAGAAAGACTCCACATCGGTATCCAACAAAGGGTAAAACCTGCCATTACAACAGCAATCGACTTGCTGATTCTAATTTCCTGTATTGAAATTCTCAGTGTTTGTGTTGCGGAGGTCGTGGCTAATGAGGTGCTGTACAGTCTGGGAGCTACTTGTAAATGGTGCTTCCTAATTGCCTGAAACACATTGTAGTAAGAGAATATTGCAACTAAAAACGAAACGCCAAAGTATAACGACACCACAAAGCAATAATGAATGAGTTTTCTGTTTTCCGTGTAATGTTCCACACTGCACGCGGCAAAACCGACAACAAAGTCGTATCTTTGCCAATTTGTTACGCGCGCAATAAGAAGATATCCGGCGAGGCTGAACCAAACGCCAAAGAGCCAGAACTTAGAACGCCAAGGAGAAAATATTTGTCGATAATGATTAGTCTTCACGATGCGAATGTATCTGTTAAAGGCTGTGAGACCCATAGTGGCAGGTGGGCAGTA